CTCACATCTGATGTATCCTTTCAGGCCAAGTGGTCTTTCTTCTCTTGAATGCTCCTCTCCATGGTAAGGGAGAAGCTAAGAGGACCAAGGGGTCTCCTCTGCTATTAATTGTAGGTGGTTCAGCAGATCTGTAGGTAAGAGTTTTTGAACAAAACAGACACCCTGGGTCTTATGTCCTCCTACCCATGATCATGTCTCTGGAGATTCTCAGTCCTCCAGGCCATGGTTGTCCCAAAGGTGCTTTTTCAAAAGGCAACTGGACTTTCTGGTTTCTTCTTTTGAAGACTTTTTGCTTCTCATCCAAGAAGCTTCTTGAGTTATGGAGGAGGGGGAGGGGGAGGAGGAGGAAGAGGAGAGGAAGAAAATGACAGAGATAGAGATGATAGATAGATGATAGATAGATAGAATAGAATAGAATAGAATAGAATAGAATAGAATAGAATAGAATAGAATAGAGATGATGATAGATGGATAGATGATAGACAGACAGACAGATAGATAAGAGCGATATGATGAAGGAAGGAAGGAAGGAAGGATTACCCAGTCCAAAATAAATCATCTCATTTAAAAACATCCAATGAAGAGATCAAAGAAGTTTCTTGAGTTATGGAGGAGGAGGAAGAGGAGGAGGAGGAGGAGGAAGAGGAAGAGGAAGAGGAAGAGGAAGAGGAAGAGGAAGAAGGAGAAGGAGAAGGAGAAGGAGAAGGAGAAGGAGAAGAAGAAGAAGAAGAAGAAGAAGAAGAAGAAGAAGAAGAAGAAGAAGAAGAAGAAGAAGAAGAAGAAGAACAACAACAACAACAACAACAACTACTACTACTACTACTACTACTACTACTACTACTACTACTGAAGAAGTTCCTTGGATGAGAAGCGAAACAAAGCCCAGTTGCCTCTTGAAAAAGTACCTTTGGGTCTTACTCATTATGTTGTCACCTGATTGTCCTAGAAGGTTATCTAGTGGTGGTGGTGGTGTGTCCCTATGTATGTATGTATTTTTTTTATTTATTTTATTTGTTGAGCATGTATTAGTTAACAGATATAAGTATAGACATGAATTTTAATACATGAAATGGGTATGAATAAAAGGAAACATTAGCTCAGGGACAGTAGGCATGCTGGTGTGCTTATGCACGCCCTTTAAAAACCTCTGAGGAATGTGTGTTATGAAAGGCTGTTAGGAGAAGTTCTACCTGGATGTAATAAAGCAACCCTGAAAATTTCCTATTTCTTTTCTTTTTTACATAAAATAAGTAAAATAGACAAGGAGTCAAATCCCATTTGGATTTAACAGACATTCTCTTTTAACGGACACACCTTCTGCCCCAAGGGTCCATTAAATCAAGGACAGTCCTGAAAATTTCCTATTTCTTTTCTTTTCTTTTTCTGCATAAAATAAATAAAATACACAGGAGTGTTTGATACAACCATGACCTGGATGACTGAGAATGTCTACAGACTCTTATACACAGGAGTCAAATCCCCTTTGGATTTAACAGACATTCTCTTTTAACGGACGCTTTCTGTCCAAGGGTCCATTAAATTAAGGGCAGTCCCTGCACAATTTCTAAAAAAAAACAATCTTCTATAATGACGGCCTTTCGTTGGTATGTTTGGCTGTCTGAACATGGACTCTGGTGGTTTCCAACCACAACAGTGCATTTGGAAGAGCAGAGGGAGTAATTGGTTGGTTGGCTTGCTTGGGGGAGGGGCATTTTGACATTATCCTGGCATTGTTCTGTAACTTTCTGTCTGTGGAGAATCCAGAATGCATTTAAAAATGCAAAACACTCCACTGGTTTGGCTGCTGATCTTAGGTGTGTATGCGTACTCATATTTGTGCCTTTGTGCAGGCGCTCCATGGTGCATTGTGTTGCAACGGCATGTCTAAATCAGCTGGTTAGACCCGTTTGCTGCAGCCGTCCTCTTCCTGCAGCATAACAAGAAAAGTTGTGTTTAGCTGAACAACATGTGCATGACTCATCAAGAGTCTTTGGTTCTGGGTGCTGCTGTGGAGGTAAACTTCCTTTTGGGAGGTGAATGCAGGAAGGGATTGTCCCTCTGTGCTTCTCAGGGTGGAAAGTCATGCTTAAGAAGCAACTCATACAGGGTTTTTTTTGGGGGGGGGCTAATGTCCCCATTTTATAAGGCAGAAACCAAATTGCCATTTTAAAAAAAAATCTACCTTTGGCAACAAACCTCGATCCAGAGCTTTGCTCACAGCTCCAGAAGCATTCAGGAAAGCCTTGCCAGCCTTGCCGGCTGAAGAAGAAATGGGCTGGCAAGGCAGGTGTTGGGGTATGCAAGGTCTGGCTACAACCATCCAAAGGTAAGGAGTAGGGCAGCTCCACCCACCCAACATCCCCACCCTCGCTTAATTTTTACCCGTCCACTCTGGAGTGGCTGGGCATCTTAATTGGGGCTTATTTTGGGGGGTAGGGCTTATATTGGGTGCAGGTGTAAAAATCAAGCTAGGACTTACTTTCAGGGTAGGTCGTATTTTCGGGAAAATAGGGTAATAAGAGAAGGTAGTAGAAAAGATGAGAAGGATGATAATAATAATAACAACAACAATAATACAGCCATACCATACAAGCTAGGGATACATACTCATTTTATGTAAACCAGGGTTTCCAACCTTGACATATTTAAGACTTGTGTATTTCAACTTCTCTCTCTCTCTTTTAATGTGTGCCTTCAAGTCCAAAAGTAAGTCGTAGGGCAGCTCCAACGCCACCTCAGCTTAATTTTCACCCATGCACTCTGGAGTGGGCAGGATCTTAATTAGGGATTATTTGGGGGGTAGGGTTTATATTGGGTGAGAACATGTAAAAAAGCAAGCTAGGACTTACTTTCAGGGTAGATCGTATTTTCAGGGAAACAGGGTAGCTCTTTGACATGAACCAACTTGTTGGAAAAATCCATAAATACGTTCTGTAAAATGTACTAGACAAGCTCCTGGGTTCAAAAACTTATTTACCAGACCCACCCACCCATACACAAGGACAATCTATCCCTAATCTAATCTGATGGACATCTCCCTTCCTTAACAAAGGTGATTTATAGGCTACTGCTGATGGTAGCTGTATCATATCATGCAAATGCCACTGTGTTATCTTAGTAATTTATACAATAGTTCTGTCAGTTAATATCCATGAATCATTAGGTGGGAAGGAGGACATGACAAAGCACTTTCTGAACAACCTTGCCAAGAAAATTGCAGAGAGTTCTTCAGGCAATCTCTGAAAATCGGACACAATTGAAGAGAAGAATTTTTTTTAAAATATCATCAACGAATTATTTTGTCTACTTAGAGCCACTCAATTGAATCCACCCCCCTCCCACTTGTGGCAGCGTGGAATATGGCTTCCAAAGTTGACAAACACACAATGTGTGGAAGGCGCAACATTAAAGATTGGCATGTATTAAACCTATTTCATTATTATTGTTATTGTTGTTGTTATTGTTGTTGTTGTTATTGTTGTTATTATTATTATTATTATTATTATTATTATTATTATTATTATTATTATTATTATTATTATTATTATTATTATTATTATTTACTCATTACTATTAAACCAGTTAAGATTCCATTTTCCTTTGGCTCATTGTGCTTCTCCAGTGACTGGCAGTCCTTGACTTACGATCACCACAGAGGCCAAAATTTCTGCTGCTAAGCGAAACAGTGAGTTCTGTCCTCATTTTATCAGCCTTCTTGCCACATTTGTTAAGCGAAGTGCCGAAGTCGTTAAGCTGGTACACAAGGTTCTTAAGGGAGTCTCGCTTCCCCACTGACTCTGCTTGTCAGAAGGTCATTAAAAGGGGATCACGTAACCCTGGGACCCTGCAACCGACATAAGGACATGCCAGTTGCCAAGCCTCATGAGACCATGGGGATGCTACAACAGTGTGGAAAAACGGTCATAAGTCGCTTCTTTTCAGCACCATTTGAACGGTCCCTAAACAAACTGTTATAAGTTGAGGACTCCCTGTGCAAAACTAGCTGGCAGAGTCAAAAGGGCTCTGCTACAATAGAAGACACTGGCAAATTTCCAGTTCATAATTAGGGATTATTTTTCCCCCAACAGAACAAACTCATTATCCAGGGAAGAAGATATTAGCAGGCCGAGTTTTCCCAGAGCAGACAGGGCAGTTTTATAGGAAAGCTGGTGTCATGCCCCTGCCAGAGTCTGAATCCAAGGAGGCGGAGGAGCAGCTGACAGGGAACGGGAATGTGGCTCCGTTGGCTGTGGAGGAAACTGGGGAAGGGCAAAGTCCGGCTGGGCAAAACAGGGGAGAGGAAGAACAAAGGAGAGGGGGTTCAGAGGAAGACCCAGGCCCACCCCCTCTTCATCCTAGGGCATGCAGGGAGGAATGGAGAAGAGAGCAACATGGGTTGCATGGCTTGTGGGGGAGGAAAGGGCCCTGATTCCCTTCATTAGCCACACCTGGGAATGAGAGTTTAAAAGAGATGCAAGCTGAGCGCAGCGTCTGCTGGGAGCAAACGTGAGTTTATCTTCGTGTCTTCCCAACCATGTTGAGTTATTGCCATGCCTTCACATCTGGAATTCCTTCTCTTGCCCTGCCGGACTAATGACATCATTTTGCCTTTATTGGGCTTATAGTTACAGTTTTTGTTGACCATGTTTTGGACTTGATTCTCTGCAGCCAAATGCGGTTTACCTGGGAGAGTTTTTCTCCAGCCAGAAGGTAACCAGGACATTGGAGGCAAAGTTGGAGATAATAAAGGGACTCCTACTGATTATCCTACTGATTATCTGACTGGGTTGCCTTTGTGCCATACCCTGGGTCACCACAGCAGGTTACTCTGAGTAGACCCCACCCTGCCTCTTCTCGAGGCATGACAAATCACACAATCCTTGTGTTTCATTTCAGAGCCTCCTAAAACCAAATCCTCGCCTTAGTAAAAAAACGAAGTCCTGGCCATGAGTTTGAGAGACAAGTTTTGCATATTCAGCGCCTTTTTTTTCCAGATTTACCTTTTCGTGAATTTCCTGGGTGGACTGAGCATCACAAAAGGCCACGGTGGCCACGTCCTTCAGGATCGGCATTTCTACTGTACAGTCCCGGCCATCCAGCAGTGCAACCAGGGGACGCGGGTGCATGGGGCCGTTCATGATCGGAGGTCGAATGCCTGAGATTAAAAGGGGAAAAAAGACAAGACATTTTAATCAGATAACAGAGTTGGAAGGGACCTTGGAGGTCTTCTAATCCAACCCCTTGCTCAACAGGACACCTTATAACATTCTGGACAAACGGCTGTCCAATTTCTTCTTTAAAGACCTCCAGTGATGGAGCACCCACATCAGTTGTTCCACTGATGAACAGAATTACACAATAATATTTGAACAGGGTTTTGGAGCAGTGGTGAGCCGATGCCGGTTTGAACCGGTTCAACTGAACCGGTAGTTCCGACCATCGGCTGACTCCGCCCACCACTCCTCGCCCTATCCTGTCCTATATTTCCTTCTTTCTGGCTTAGCTGAGTCGCGTGGCGTAGCCGATTTCCACACCTCAGCTGTTCTACTTACCGGGGCTGCCCTAAAAGGTAAGCAGCTGAGCTTCAAATTGCTGTATTTTGAACGCTGCTCTGCACAAGCGCATGAGGCAAAACGCGGGCTCACAGCACCGGTTGTTAAACTGGTTGTAGCCCACCACTGCCTTGGAGGTCTTCTAGTCCAACCCCTTTCTCAAACAAGAGACCTTATATTATTCCAGACAAATGTCTTTTGTTAAAAACCTCCAGAGTTGGAGCCCCCCACAGGTTCTGACGGCAATCAATTGTTCTGTCAGGAAACGTCTCCTTATTTCCAGGTTGAATCTCTCCTTGGTTAGTTTCCATCTGTTGCTTCTTGTCCACCCTTTGGGTGCTTTGGAAAATAGCTTGACCCCTTCCTCCTCCTCTGTGGCAGCCCCTCAAATATTGGAAGGCTGCTCTCCTGCCTCCCCTGGTCCTTCTCTTCCCTAGACTAGCCAGGCCCAGTTCCTGCAACCGTTCCATCGTATCTTTCATGCTCCAGTCCCCTCATCATCCTGGTTGCTCTTCTCTGCCCTCTTTCTAGAGTCTCAGTTCTGCAGAGTTGAATTTCTGCTATTCATTTTCTGAACACTCCCTCCATTCATCGCATGTTTTAACCTCCAGTCCCCTAATCACCCTTGTTCCCCTTCTCTGTACACCTTGTTTTTATTTATTTTTGTCTATTTATTTTGTTTTATTTACATTCAGTTTAATTGGAAAATGGGACACTATATCTTAGGAGAAGAATATTCAGACAATATACGTAAAGAGAATACAACCAGAATGATAAGGGAAACCCTAAATGGAACCATTTGGTGGAAATTTACACCACTCTGGTAGCACCTAGAGATGCTAGAATTCCCCCGCCCCCAATCATAAAGACGATAAAAACAAGACTCTCTAAAAGAACTTGTTGAGTCTCGCTGTTCTGATGAGAAAGCCATTTGCAACCGATCACATCCTGTTTGCCTGCATAGGCAGACCACCGAAATTACAGTTGCCAATACAATCTCAACTGGAGAGCCTCACTTAACACAATTGCAACAACAAAGCAACAAAACACAATTTCCAGCATCTGCCAAGTTGGAAAGGAAGGGCTAAAACTTTGCACAAGTCCCAATTCCTCCCTGCTTTTCATTTAAGCCCCCTGCCTTTTCTCAAGCAATCCTGAGAAAAGATGCAGCTGCTTTAAAAGAAACAAAAAAATCAAACTCCTTTGAAAGCAGCTGCGACTTTAGTTAAGCTGCTTTAATGAGCAACAAAGAACCACTGTATTTATGGGACGTTTGAATCGACTCTGTTGTTTTTAAAACTTACCCAGCCCAACAACTTTGGTTAGGAATGGTGGGTTAAACCAGGCAAAGATGGCAACCCTGGCATTACACAACCCGAGGCCTCTTACACCTTAAATACTTGTCAACTTTGATTGTAATTCCCACGGCTGCCATCTTGGACCCATTTGGACCCTCCTGCAAAAAAGCACCAGCAATATGAAGAATAACACAGATAAGATGCCACACACACTAAGACACTGTAAATCTTAATTCTAAATATCTTAGTTTTAGTAGCAGCACTGAAGGAATAGCTCAGTGGTTAAAAAAAAAAAAACACACACACACACAGAGACACACAATTAGCTGGTCAGCCCCAGGCCAAGCCAAGGAAAGCAAAGGGACAGATGGGGTGTGCTAATTGCTAATTATTTTAAGGGTGTTCAAAGCCCAGGGAGCAACAGCAAAACCAGAGAAATACAAAACCCAGATCAAAGAATCCTAGGGCAGGAGGGAACCTGGAGGTCTTCTAGTCCAACTCCCTTGCTCAAGGCAGGAGTCCTTATACCACCCCGGACAAATGATTGTCTGATTTTTTCTTGAAAAATCTTTTCTTGAGACCTTCAAGAAGAGACTGGACTGCCATTTGTCAGAAATAGTGTAGGGTCTCCCACTTGGGCGGGGGGTTGGACTAGATGACCTATAAACTCCCTTCCAACTCTGATTATCTGTTATCTGTTACCTCCAGGGATGGAGCACCTACAACTCCAGGTGGCTAAAGGTAAAGGTTCCCCGTTGCATATCCGTGTTTGTCACTTCTGGGACTCGGGGGAGATGCTCATCTCCATTACAAAGCTCAAGAAGAGCCAGCACTGTAGGGAGACGTCTCCGTGGTCATGTGGCCGGCATGACTCAACGCCCGAAGGCACATGGAACGCTGTTCTCTTCCCACCAAAGGTGGTCCCTATTTTTCTACTTGCATTTTTTATCTCTTTCGAACTGCTAGGTTGGCAGAAGCTGGGACTAGTAACGGGAGCTCACTCCGTTACGCGGCGCTAGGGGTTCGAACCGTCGAACTGCCAACCTTCCTGATCGACAAGCTCCGCGTCTCAGTCTAATTCCCTTTACCCATTCAACGTATGGTTTAGCCTCCAGTCCCCGTATCATCTTGGTTGCTCTTCTTGGCACACTCCTTTCTAGGGTCTTGGCGGCTTTTCTTGCGGTGTGGTGACCCAAACTGGAGACGGTATTTATTCTAAACGGAGCCTCACCAGCACAGGATAAAGAAGCGATGTTACCCCTCATCATGACCTTGGTGCCATCCCTTCGTTGAGGCGACCCTAGGATTGCATTGGCCTTTTGGGCAGCCACTTGTGGACTTCAACTCCCAGAGTTCCTCAACCAGCAAAGCGGTGGCCCTGTGTCATAAGTGTGAGCCAGTTGCCGAACGTCTGGATTTTAATTGCCCATTGTTCCATCGTATGTGAATGATGGGTATATGTCCAATTTTTTTTGTATTCAAATGGGAAAAAAAATTGCTTAAAGATACGTACATGTGTGTAAATATAGATTTTCTGTGAGAAAATTTTGGTGGTCCGCAGAGAAATGTCACTCCCAAAGCACTTAATGCAGGCTGTGCAGGAACACAAGGCTGTGCTGCCCACATGGCCCGCAGGAACACAAAGCAGTCACTGAACAAAAAGTTGTAAGTTGAGGACCTCCTGTATTCCATACATAACTAATACAGGTAGTCCTTGACTTACAACAGTTCATTTAGTGACCAAAGTCACAACAGTACTGGAAAAAAGGGACTTATGACCGTTTTTTTCACCCTTAGAACCATTGCAACATTTCTACAGTCACAGGAGTAAAATTCAGATGCTTGGAAACAGACTCACACTTACGACAGTAGCGGGAAAAGTTGTAAAATGGGGCAAAACTCACTTAACAAATGTCTCGCTTAGTAGCCATCTAGTCTTATTCTAGGGTCCATTCAACTAAACTCGAGTTAGCCATCCAGAGTTGAGCACCTATAGGAGCTGAGTAAGTAAATAATAACTACATAGAATAAATGACTCAGTTTCCTGCATTCAGACACACAAAAAAGGAACCCTGGTCAGTTTAGCACTCAAAAATAATCATCTGATTAAAAAAAAACAACGATCTTCTTATTTTCAAGAAAACGGTGTGTAAGACTCAAGATAAATATGCTCTGTTAGCTATAACTGCAAATTAAATTAATACACATTTTGACAAGCATTTGATTGTAACGTAAGCTTGGTTAAAAACAATTCCAATTCCAGGAACGCTTATCAATCTGATATTTCTTAAACTGGATTTTAGTTTCAGAGTCATTAATTCCACTTTTCAGTTTATTTACAGTCCTGGGAGACAACTTGTCATTTGAGCCTCCTTTTTCATATATTTTAACTTTTTTGTACAGCCTCCGAAACTTTTTAAACTTCTTATTCACACAAGCCTCCGTTTCTTTTTTTTGCTTTAAAAAGAAAACCCACAAAAATACGGAAAGCAACATTAAGAGGTTGGGGGAAAAAATGCAAAAGATGGGACATTCAAATGTGTGAAGTCCTGTCTGAACCTTGTCAAATGCAGGTTGTCATCTTCCATTAATGTCCTGCTGGCTTCAGTAGATCTTGAAGGTAAATAATAAATACTGATATATCAAATATGTCAACCATTTTGTTGTCCTTGATGCCTAGGAATAAATTAACACTTATCCGTGGCCAGGGAAGAGTTACAAAAAGCTGGAACAAAAACTCTACAAATCTCTTAAAACTTGCTTAAAAACTGCAGGCCATTGTACAAAGAGTAGAAGAATTAGGGGTAACATGATAGCAGTCTTCCAATATTTGAGGGGCTGGCACAAAGAAGAGGGGGTCAAGTTATTCTCCAAAGCACCAGAAGGCAAGACAAGAATCAAGGGTTAGAAACTAATCAAAGAGAGAAGCAACCATGGAACTAAGGAGAAACTTCCTAACAGTGAGGACAATTAACCAGTGGAACAACTTGCCTACAGAAGTTGTAGGTGCTCCATCACTGGAGGTTTTTAAGAAGCGACTGGGCAGCCATTTGACCGGGATGGTATAGAATCTGCTGCTTGAGCAAAGGGTTGAACTAGAAAACCTCTAAGGTCCCTTCCAACTCTATTCTAAAAAAAAAAAGAACAGCGCTAGAGGTTCAGGCTTCTTGAGAACCTACTCCACAATCAACTCAGCAGAACTGGGAAGTGATTATTGTAATGAGGGCATCAAGTACCGTGTTTCCCCAAAAATAAGACCTTGTCTTATATATTTTTTTTGCCACCCAAAAAGGGCACCAGGTCTTATTTTCGGGAGATGCCATCCACTGA